CTATATAGTTAAAAAGCTGTTGTTCTTAGCTTTGTTCATGTCCCTTTTTTATCCTAAAAGATATGGTTGAAATAGAGATGCTCAGTGACGCAGATGTTAGCACTGCTGCCTTGCAGCAAGAAGGTTCCGGGTTTTGATTTCCAGCCTGAGGTCTTTCTGCATGGAGTATACATGTTCTCCCTGAGCATGCGTGGGTTCTCTCCTGGTACTCTGGCTTCCTCCCACAGTCCAAAAACATGACTGTTAGGTTAATTGGCCTCTCTAAATTCTTCTGTATGGTGAAAATGGACAGAGTATATATCCTTTTAGTAAACACTGTTGTCATATAGATAGATGTAGGGATTTAAAAAATTATGTCAGTGACTGGATTGTATTCTGACTACCCAGCCGCTTCCATCCAAGGTCTTTGTTGTGTAAAGGTGGAGGAGAGTTGCTCATGTTTTCATACCCACCTTCATGGCGTTATGCAGCTTCTCAGCAAAAAAAGCAGGGGTGTTCCAAGCACATTTCACTGCACATACAAGACAAAAACACAGCGAGTGTCACAGCTGTAAAACTTCAGGTTTAAGTAGCTCGCTGTAATGTTTTTTATCAATACAATTTTTAAAAACAGCACATCCACAAAATGTAGCATCTGCAGACTTGGAACCCGGCTGACAAACTGTACAGAATAAAAGCTTTTAACCTTTTCTAAACTTTTAATAAAACTTTTAAATATTTCAATCCTGAGCTTTTTACGCTTTCTAATCTAAATGTGTTAGAAATAGGCTGATAAAAGAGCTAAAATCACAGTTTGAACCACAGTCAATGCAGCTTTCAACCACTTTACTGGTTTTTGTCAGGCGCCTGACTGTATTTCAAGAGATGCAGTTTGGTCTGTCAGCACAGGTGGTTATCATAATTTAGACTTTTTACTTTTAATTGCAGCAAAAGGATTAGAGATACTTTATACATTTTAAGTTAAAAATAAATTATTTGTCTTTGAACCACCAAGCTTTGCCTTTTCTTTCATTTCAAAGTAAATAAAACCGAACCATCAGTAACTTTAACCCAAGTCAGGACTTTAGTCTACTGGAAAAGCTTTATAATACTTTCTCAAACTGCACAAAGAATCTACACTATATTATCTTAATCAATCGAATTACTGAAATATTATAATTATCAGGCAGTGACTGAACCATCCAACAGTCCCTTAAAACTGTGAGAGAGGATGAATGGAAACCTCCACCTACCAATGGCAATGAGGCAGTCCTCGATGTCTCCGCTCAGGTTCATCTGCAGGGCTCTGGGTAACTTCAGGTCACTGACGGCGGCATAGTGGTGAAACGCTGGCAGGTAGGAAGACAAAAATTCATACATCTTATTTCTGCCTGACTCAGCTTTTTGGTAGTATCATTTGTTAACAGTGTTGGGTAAGTTA